GCGGGCCCGTCTCAAAACGGGACCGTCTTATTTTATCTCCATCGGCCTGGCACCCATACGTACCCATACCGCCCATGCCTCCAATAACCTTCCCGGTATACACGACGATGATGGGATCTCGCCCAATAACCTGGCACACTGACGTATGAGCCACGGTGCCATCTCCATTCGGGTCCTACCCATACTGCCCCGTAAAAGGGAGCAGGACCAGGTGCACCGACTGAAATATTAACCGGAAAATTTAAACGGACCCGCACATGCTGTGCGTCCGACACCATATTTAAGCCCAGCAAAAGGGCCGCCGCAATAATCATTCTTTTCATGGCATAATTATTTGTGTGTATGACCGGAGCCAGTACTTTTGGTTTATTGGTCATACATTTTTGCCAGCGGTTTTTCACATCTTTTTAATTGCAGTTCTTTTCCTAACTTTCTTTTATGAATGTCAAGATCAGGCCTGAGAAATACCTGAAATATCTCTATCTACCCAATTTGTTCGGCACCCAGCGCACGAAGGAAATTTTGTCTGTCAACCCAACCGTGATCCCAACAAGGGAAGAGGCGAACGAGGTGGTGGTATTTGTATATGATTTTGACGCAAACGGCATCGAGGAGAGACGGCTTACATCAGTAAAAGAGTGTTTCCGATTCAAAAACAGCAACCGAATCAGCTGGATCAACATAGATGGGCTTCGCAAAGCTGACGTGGAAACCGTCTGTGAACATTACGGTGTTCACCCACTCATTGTGGAAGATATTCTTAGTATCAATCAGCGTCCTAAAATGGACGAGGTCGAGGGTATACTTTTCTGCCTGTTGAATATGCTATATTACAATGATCAAAAACAGACGGTCGAACAGGAACAGATCAGTATCATTGTAGGTACCGATTTTGTAATAAGCTTCCAGGAAGATGCCAGTCGGGATGTATTCAATCCACTCAGGGATCGGCTGAAACTCAATACCAGCAAGGCCCGGCAACGCGGGGCCGACTACCTCTGCTATAGCATGCTTGACCTGATTGTCGACAATTATTATACGGTGATGGAAAAGCTGGGTGACAGGATAGAATTT